TATTAAATTATAATGAGTAAACAAAGAATAAGATATCTTATCAGAAAAATATTAAATTTTACTGTCCAAATTTCTAAAATATTTTTACATAATATTGTAAATATTTACATATATTTTGAAAATATTTTAATAAGTAATAAAATAAACATTCTAATTAAAAAAAAAACCAATATTTTATTGTAAATACACTAAGGAAATAAACATACATAAAATGAGACAATAATGCAATACAATACATAAGAAATTGCAAATAAACTAATACTGCCTTTCTCATTTTATCTACAGTTTGTGTGTGTTGACCCTAATTTCTTTCCTACACTATATTATTTTTATTTTATTTGTAACTTAAACTACGTCCAACTAACCAAACAAAACTTTTTCCCCTATTCTTTATCTCGCATATTAATATTAATTTTATTTCAAATTCATGTCAAGTAAATTTTTATTAAAAACGCACGATAAAGTCACGACGTATCATTTTCATCTTGAAATTAATATTTTGTGACAAACCCTTTATAATTCTCTTTTAAAATTATTGCAATTAAAATTCCATGTTTTTAAATTTCCATAACTTACATATATAATATTTATAAACTATAAAAATTTTAATTTATAATCGCTATTCTTTCTTTGATAATATTTATTATAGTAGGGGTCGGCAACCTTTTTGTTGCTAACATTGCATTAAAAATTTAAAAACCACCAAAAGCACATAGTTTAACTTAAAAAAAAAAACACAATGTTGTAATAAATAGGAAAAAGAATTGTTTTAGAATATGTATATTTATACAAAATAAAGATTATACATGCATGTAATCACTAAAAAATGAAAATTAAAAAGTACACACATAACAACACAATCAAATTACAAGTATATATATTTGCACTTGCATGACTATGGTTCTAGAGGGTGCATGTGAAATGTGATGTGTTCCAACCCCTGTATTATATTGTTTTTATTCAAGTATTTTCCTGGAAATTATATTTACAATTCATCTAATGAAAATTAAAAAAATAAATCAGTTTAATGTTCACTTTTCACTACAGTTAGTAAAATTATCTCATCATCTTGAATCCGTTATGACTAATTTTATTCTCACTTCATTTAGCTTTTCAAATTTATACACTTACACCATGTTAGTGACCAATAACAGTTAACAAACAACTTCAATTAAAACCAGACAATCTGCTAAATTATTAACTTAACCTTATTACAGCCTAATAAATCAGCAGACTTTCTGGTTTTAATACCAGTAAACGTCTGGGCAAAAAACGTACTAAATACAGAATTATCGTCGTAAAATTTATTAAATTACAGAACAAATTTATTTACAACAATATAAATTCAATACTACTACTATAAGTTTGTTATCATTTGTTAGTAAATTCAGTGATTAAACAATTTAAATTAATTGAACTTTAGAGATATCTAAAAACGAAAAATCTTCCTGATGGGCATTATTTGTAATGTTTGTTAGGTTAATTCAACTTTTTTTAAAGAAAAGCAGTAGAAATTTCAAATCAGACAAATGATTTTACTTATAGATTAACAAAAACAACACTTTAATTCTTGAACTTTTGTAACACACCCAAACTTCAGCAACAAAATGAAATATTTACAATGCTGAACCAACATTTTAGTAGTCTTAAGACCACCGAAAACGTTTGTCCAGCATTTTATTTCTGGATTTGGAGTTTGGGTATATTATTATACGTTTATTAATTCTTGATTTTGCCATACAGCTTAGATTAAGCATTTATATCATTATAAATAATTCATGCTTTAGATTAAGAATTTTAGATTAAACTTATATAAAAAATATGTTATGAGTTCATAAACATCAATTTAAAATTTATATAAATAATCTTAATTAAACAACACCATCAAAATGTTTTGTTGGTGTTATTTGATAGTATATAATCAGTTTTGGGAAGATTTAGAATAATCTTAATATCATGAGATGAGAATCAGAGGGTTCTATACGAATTTTTTTCAGTTTAACCTGTGATTTGGACAATCATCTTTCTGTTAACAGAGAATTTGCCATTTGATGAGCAGCAGGGGCCTAGAGACAAACTTTTGGTGTAAAAATTTGGCTCTAATCTACAAAAGTTGGCAAACTTCAAATTCTTCCGCTGTAAAATTTTCAGGTAGAACCCTCCTTGGTTCTTACCTCAAATATGCCAAATTTTATCAACCGTGGCAGGAATAGAAGAAAAAAAAAAAAAAAAAAGGCCAAAATGGTAATCTGTAAAATCAATTCCTGTCTGAAATTTCCTTAAAATAAACTCTAATCTCTAACCTGACAAACATTATATCACACAAAATACAAAGCAAGACAATATACATATTTTATTCTCTACATTAAAAATCAATATACTCTGTTAAATAACTTAGTTGGATACAGATAATTTATTGAAATTTATTTATTAAATAAAATATATAATATTCCAGGCTTTTTGAGATTAAAACAACAAATTATAAAGAGCATTTCCTCACCAATTGGAGGTGGTCTGCCTGGTGGTGCACCACCCTGTGAAAGAGGGGGGCCTACAGGTGGTTGTGGTGGAGGATGAGACACTGCGAATAAGACGATAAAAATATTAATTATATAATAAAAATTGTGAGAAAATAAAATTGAGAATCTGAAACAAATTATCAAAAGTCAATTTTCAGAAATAGCAACATGCCGGTAAGTAATAGTTTTAAATCAAAAACAATATCGAAAGATTGGCCGTTTTTATCAAATACCCAAATTTTGGACTAATTAATTTAACTCAATTACGTTAAAACAGTTTCTCTCAGACATTATTAGAAATATTCACATATAATAATTGTAGATATCATTCTGAAATTACAGAATTACTACATGTTTTCAAAAAAAAAAAAAAAAATTAATTTACATCAAACAGTATTACTGACAAAAATCAAGTTACTTTTATTGTAATTCCTGGAAAATAATTGTTCTAGTTACAGTTATTTTAAGATCTGTAATGCAATTAAATAAAATTTTGTACGTTAATAAAGGTTAAGTTTTATGAGAAACAAAATTGAAAAATCGTCACGGTACGATGCATCGGTGGTTCAGTGTGAGAATGCTCATCCGCCACTGACGGCCCGAGCTCATTTTCCAGCCGATGCACTATAAAAACACAATTAATTCATATAAATCAATACAGAAATAAAAACTATCAACATGAAATATTGCTAATATATATTTCTGCTCCTCGTAAAAAAAAATTTAATTTTCTTCGTTGCACATATTTAAAGAGAGAGAAAAATTAATTTAAAATTATATTAGTAAAACTTATAAAGTAATTTGTTGTTACAACTAAACTTTTTATGAGGTAAAGACACACAATACCATATATTTTATGTTATAAACAACAAATTAAATTTAAATTAATTATAATTACTCATATTCTATTTATATTATTTACATAGATTAAATAGTATTTTTATATAAACAAGGAGAATAAATTTATTTTATAATTACATACTAAATTTGGGTTTTAAATACTTTCTCGTTAAAACAAGTCTGTGTAAGAAAGTTTTGGATTTGTTATTCTACAGTACAGAACTTAGGTAAATTATGTCAAAGTATAAAGGCTATAATCGTTACTTTGACCAATATATAATGAAAAGATTTAGTTCTTATAATACACAAAACTTGTGTTAGGATATGTATTTGAAACCAAAAATCAGACATGTAGTACATGGCTGGAAAAGCTAACAAAACTATCCAAATTTATGAGAATAATTGTAATATAAATTAAAACGTAGTGTGACGTGCTAGCAGTATATGTGGCAAACTATGGAAAGTTCAGTGTGACACACCAGGATATCATGTCACTCAGTGTGTTAATAAAATAAATTTCATAGCTAAGGTGAGTAAGCAAGTGACAGACTAAAATATTTTCCTCTTATAATATATAGGTCATACTTTACATTTGAAAAAGTAATTTTATCAACAAAAGATGATCTTATAAAGTTCTCTAACAGAAAGAAATTTAATTGTTTAGAAAAGCAACTTTAAACAGGAGATACGTCAAAATAGTCTTAATACATCAGATTAAATAGGCCAAAGAGAGAATTGTTTGACTGGTTTTGCTATACAATTTCTCCTTGTAGACTGAGGGGTAAAAAATTTCATCTCCAGGTACATAGAAAAAAATTTTTTGAGAGCTTAGAGTTAAAAAAGTCAATATGACAATACTCTATTAGAATATAAAACATACAAATTTATTGTTGATAATAACTGTAAATCATCCAGAGTCAAACTACATCTAGACTAACTCAGCGAAACTTAAATATACTGTTAAAATTTATTTATTAAACAGTCAGTGAATTCCTCAATTTACAAAAAAGGTTTATTTTGTCTGTCTACTTGCAATCTACACAAACATGGGTTTTCTATTATGTTTACTTAACATAAAATATGACTATGTAATAACAAGAAATTAAAGAATTTAACAGATTTATAATTATAGCCATCTAAAATATAGATTAAATGGAAATGCAAATGGAAGCAGTTATTTAGTAAAGAAGGGAAAACTAAATGATGGAAAAAACCAACTCCAAACCAAATCATTTCATAAACTGTAAAAACCTGTGTGTAAAACATATGAAGTACATGTGCATGCACCACATGAGCTATGTTAAATAAATGCTTTATTACTAAGTATGTAAGTGTTTCTTTTAAATGCTACATTTATGCCTATATACATTAAAGTATGTTATTTACTAAGCAAACACAGATCTTTTGTATTGTTTCCATTTCATTTTTTTAACATGGAGTGATCTCTCACCCTACGTGACTCAGTACATAAGGAAGAATAGCATGCCTACTGCCAGGATAATAAATATCTGATATAACAACTGAAATAAAAGAATTAGCAAAATTATTAACAGAATATGAGAAAATATCAGTAGCATTTTTGGCATAAATTTATTACATCAATTACCAAAATATTTGATTATATAACTGTATTGTTATATTATCATCTTAGGTTTGATTAAAGAAAAATATCATCATTTAAGAATCCGTTTGAAAGTTAAAAATTAGTTACTAAATATGAATTTATATTAGTTTAGATTAGAATATAAAATTCTTATAAAACAAAGACTTTCCCACACATGAACTAATGTGGACAAGAGTGATCTGGATATTAGAAAAATCCAGATAAGGGTGTGTGATAATTTTTAGATAAGACTAACATTTATGCCTACTGTATGGATAAGAAATATTTGACTTTGACAATTATAATTAATTTTCAAATTATTGTGTTAAAGTTGTTTATTTTGTTCTTCACAATTTGCTGATGAACTGCTACATATGCCAATGCCTCATCATCATCATGTCAGCAATGGTTGATGCATTGTGCTCTTCTATAAATTTCAAGGCAACCTTACTTAAAAAATACACACAATGCAGTAAGAAAAGATAAGATTCAGAGTATACAATATTTTAGAAAATTTTTGGTTGCCTTTTATCATTCTGGATAAGGGAGTGTCTACTGTATTTAATTCTAAATTATCTAAATTAGAAATTAATAATCGTTTTCTAATCTTAATTCCTGCAGATGAAAAATACTCATACATGTATACAAAGTCTGTCCAGAAAATTTGAGAACTTTTTAAATTACATCAACCAATAATTGAATCTGAGTGCAGCTTGCATAGGTCTTTATTGGAAAGTTTGTTGTACTATCTGCCGAAAGGAGTTTGTCTATCTTTACTTGTTGTTGTTGTGTTATGTTATGTTTGTACAATTGCGTGCTGATTGTGTTCTGCAATTTTCTTTCCATGAGTGTAATTGAGTGAAGAGTTCAGGGACAGGCTAGGTCTGATAAAAATTTCACGAAAATCATCATAACTGGAGATGTGTTTTTCAATCTTTATCTCACGATGCATTTGAACCTATAATTAAATTTCCTCAGAAAAAAATTATGTGATTTAAAGTTGACTTTGTAAACATTCTATCACCATATTACTTGCCACTTAACCTAATTCTTAATGTCTATAGTTTTTGCAAATTAAATAAAACAGCATTGTTGTTCCTTAAAATAACAGCAGGTTACAACAATAGTTATTTGAATAAATAACTTTCATTTACATAAGAAAAGCGATTAAAATTAAGTCTTGATTTGTATTTAAAAGTGGCATGATTATTGCCTTTGGAAACCTGCCCAATGTCCTGCCATTTCTAATAATATGAACTAAGTATATTAGATTATATATACAATTATAGATAAGTTTTGATTTAACGAAAATTTCATTTTAAATGAAATAACCCAGTGTCATGCACATATAATTTTGCTTATGAATATATATTTTTTTACTACATTATGTATATATTTATTTATTATAACAATGAAAGAAAAACTTGTACAGACAATTTAAGAAGGTTTTAATTTTGACATATACCCTTATTGTTCCTTGGGTTTCTTTTGAAAATAATTTATTTAATAACCTTCAAAAATTTTCATTGCACACCAGTTGAAAATCGCTTTTCTGTGAGTATGATGTGGAAACAAGATGTTAGTCATCACAGTAGGTGGGAAAATTCTTACCATGACTCAAACAAGGTATGACAAGTTCAGTCGAGTGTGGAGGTCTGGTTCACTTTTTTGTTTGATTCTGATGGTATCATTCAACAGGAATTTCTTCCAGAAGGGAAAACAGTAAATAAGAAATACCATCTAGAGGTGATGAAATGTCTTCATGAAGCAGAGGGGAAGGAAAGACCAACTGCTTGGAGAGAACAGCATTGTGACAACGCTCTTGTCCACACAACACTGATGATAACACACAGTCCGTTTCAAAATTATAAACACACCCAACTTTTTTCAATAACAAAAACATTAACAATAGTAATGTACTTATTATATTAATATGTTGTTTACAACATTAATTTATACATTTTCTGAAATTTTTAGAGCTATCTGACAATTAGAAAAAAATTATCAAAGATTTTCAATTTTTGATTGTTTCAAAAGTATAAACCACAGGTGCATAAAATTAGCAAGATAAGTTTTTAATTAATTATTGGTTTAATTAGTTGTCACCAGAGGATAGTATCGTTTATTATTACAAATATACGGCCAATTTTAAATAGTTTTTTTATGATTTAAAACAATGCCTTGTGGAATACACTAACAGAGTTGGATATATGTGAAATTTACCAACTAAAAGCATCAGGACAATCTCTAAGACAAATTTCGGCAGCTGTAAATCGATCTACATGTGCTGTGAGAAATGTATTAACTTCGGATAAAAATTATGACAAAAATAAGCGATGTGGAAGGACTAAACTCCTTACACCTAGAAATGAAAGAAAGGTTTTTTTGACTACTGACAGCCAACAAGTTGTCTGTCAGAGAATCAGCATCAATATTGCCAATTTCAGTTTCACCAGGAACTGTATGGAGATGTACGCATAATCATAAAAATGTCAAATTTACAAAAATGGCTGCCAAACTGAAATTAACACAATTGCACAAAACAGCTAGATTAAAGTGGACCATAGACAAGATGACATGGAAACGAGTGGACCCAAATAGTCTTTTCAGATGAAAAAA